CGCGCCTGTAGTCCCAGCTACTTGGGAGGCTGAGGCAGAAGAATCACTTGAACCTGGGGCACAGAGGCTGCGGTGAGGGGAGATTGTGCCTCTGCACTCCAGCCTGGCAAAACAATAAGTAGGCCAGGTGTGGTGGCTCATGCCTGTAATCCAAGCACTTTGGAGGCCAAGGCAGGCAGATCGCCTGAGGTCGGGAGTTCAAGACCAGCCTGACCAACATGGTGAAACCCGGTCTTTTTTTTTTTTTTTTGAGACGGAGTTTTGCTCTTGTTACCCAGGCTGGAGTGCAATGGCGTGATCTCGGCTCACCGTAACCTCCGCCTCCTGGGTTCAGGCAATTCTCCTGCCTCAGCCTCCCGAGCATCTGGGACTATAGGCACGTGCCACCATGCCCAGCTAATTTTTTTTTTTTGTATTTTTAGTAGAGACGGGGTTTCACCATGTTGACCAGGATGGTCTCGATCTCTTGACCTCGTGATCCACCTGCCTCGGCCTCCCAAAGTGCTGGGATTACAGGCTTGAGCCACCGCGCCTGGCCACCCGGTCTTATAAATAAATAAAGAAGTAAATAAACAAAAATAAAAACATAGCTACAAGCAGGAAACATACAATTTTGTATTCTACTTTTAAAGGACCCTTATGATTGTGTCATGTAAATTTTGTAGCAACACAGTCTTTCAAATCGTAATCTTACCAGCCACATATCAATACACATTTTCCCCTGTTGGAACTTAGGTTGCTTTTTTTGTTTGTTTGTTTTTTAATGTGGATCTTAGACTGCTTTTAATTTTTTTTTAATTTTTAATTTTTTGTTTTTTGAGATAGAGCTTCATTCTTGTTGCCCAGGCTGGAGTGCAATGGTGCAAACTCAGCTCACTGCAACCTCTGCCTCCTGGGTTCAAGTGATTCTCCTACCTCAGCCTCCTGAGTAGCTGGAATTACAGGTGCGTACCACCATGCCCAGCTAATTTTTGTATTTTTAGTAGAGATGGGGCTTCACTATGTTGGCCAGGCTGGTCTCAAACTGCTGACCTCAGGTCATCTGCCCGCCTAGGCTTCTCAAAGTGCTGGGATTACAGGCATGAGCCACCGAGCCTGGCCAGCTGCTTTTTATTTTTGCTATGGGAAATAACACTACAATAAAAATCTTGTTCATACTTTCATTCACTTGCCCCCATGTTTTTATCTATACTGTTAGTATTGGGAGGGTGTCACATAGTAGATGCTCAATAAACATTTGTTGAGTGTATCTTGTATTTCCTTAGGACAGAATACAGAAGTAATATCGTACAGGTAAATGATTTAGGTCAACGTCTCATAATAAATATTGCTATTATTATGAACTATTATTAAATGAAATTTACTGGCTCTTGAAATTTATTGCCAACTTTATTTATTAAAAGGTTGTGATAATTTACAATGCTTCCAGCACCATTAATTAATTAATTCAAGAAGTGTTTTTTTTTTGTTTTGTTTTGTTTTTTTTTTTTTGAGACAGGGTCTTACTCTGTTGCCCATGCTGGAGTGTAGTGGCACGATCTCTGCTCACTGCAACTCTGTCTCCCTGACTCAAGCAATCCTCCCATCTCAAACTCCTGAGTAGCTGCAACCACAGGCTCATGCCACCCCACCCAGCTAATTTTTGTATTTTTCGTAGCAACGTGGTTTCACCATGTTGCCCACACTAGTCTCGAACTCTTGAGCTCAAAGCAATCCACCCCTCTTGGCCTCCCAAAGGACTGGGGTTACAGGTCTGACCCACTGTGCCTGGCCACAGAAGTATTTTTTTAGCACTTGGTATGGACCAGAAACTGTTCAAGATCCTGGGGGATAGAGCACTGAACAAAACAGACAAAAATCACTGCCTTATGAGTTTTCATTCTAATGGAGGAGGTGAAGTTAAATACCTATTTATTTAGTATATAAATAGATTGTATATAATTGCTTATCCATTTTCTTATATATATTTTTTATATGATAAGCCTAATACAAATTTATGAATTGTATAGTAATATGTCAGTTCGTTGTAATGGATATGAAGGAAAAGCAAGGAAGATAAGATGACAGGGAGAAAGTGGATGGTTTTTTGAATAGGATGGTCAGGGAAGTCTGGAGAGGTGACATGAGCAGAGACCTGAATGAAGAAAATGAGGTGAGATCCAGCAGGAGCAATACAGCTGGATGGAAGGGAGAAAAAGAAAAGAGTGGAAGAAGAATGAATACTATCTTTAGACATCTCTCAGCAGTCTGAGCGATTTTTTTTAATGAAAATAGGTAAAAAAAAATTTTACTCTTGTGAACTAAAATTATTTTCTTTCTGTTCATATGGACTGCATTCACTTGCTAGTAGTTGAGGAAAAATAATACTAGTAATAGCAAAAGCTAACATTTACAAAACTCCTGCCACATATAAGGCACCGTACATGTTATTTTACTGGCTTCATAACAACCCAGTGAGATATGGATTATGAACATAATTATAAAAATTATGGCTGCAATGTAATATTCTATAAAACAGACCATTAGTGGGCCGGGCGCGGTGGCTCAAGCCTGTAATCCCAGCACTTTGGGAGGCTGAGGCAGGTGGATCACGAGGTCAAAAGATCGAGACCATCCTGGTCAACATGGTGAAACCCCGTCTCTACTAAAAATACAAAAAATTAGCTAGGCATGGTGGTGCGTGCCTGTAATCCCAGCTACTCAGGAGGCTGAGGCAGGAGAATTGCCTGAACCCAGGAGACGGAGGTTGCGGTGAGCCGAGATCGCGCCATTGCACTCCAGCTTGGAAAAAAAGAGCAAACCTCCTCCTCAAAAAAAAAAAAAAAAAAAAGAAGCTCACGCTCATTCCATCTCCTCAGGTCCCTGCAAATCAGTTTTCACTTATTAGGAACACTTATTTGGACTGCCAAAAAGGTTTAAAAATACACTTTTATTATATTCAGCCATTCACATTTTAATGTTTATGTATTGTAGCATCAAGTATATATCTTAAAGATCCTGAATTCTATAACTTCCTTTTTAATTATATATTCTGAGGCAACAATCTTTAAAGGTAAAAGACCACAAACAAAAATCCTACAAGAAGCCCGATGCAGTGGCTCATGCCTATAATTCCAGTACTCTGGGAGGCCAAGGTGGGCAGATCACTAGAGCCCAGGAGCCTGGGCAACATGGCAAGAACTTGTCTATAAAAAATACAAAAACTAGCCGAGCATGGTGGCATGTGTCTGTAGTCCCAGCTACTTAGGAGGCTGAAGTGAGAGGATCCCTTGAGCTTGAGCCCGGGAGGTACAGATTGCAAGATTGCAGTGAGCCGAGATGGGCAAGACCCCGTCTGAAAAACAAAAACAAAAACAAAAACAAAAAAGCCAACAAGAGCAATGAAGCTCTTTCAAAATATGGCTATTTTTTGTGAACATTCCTATCATTTCTAATGTTGAAATTATGCTTTCCTTGCCTAAGCATCTTGTCATTCTACATTCATTTCTGTAACATACTGTTATGGGTTAAATTTGGTCCCCCAAAAGATAAGCTGAAGTCCTAACCTTCAGTACCTGTGAATGCGACCATTAATTGGAAATGAGCTCTTTGCAGAGGTAATAATGCTAAGATGAGGTCATAATGGATCAAGGTGAGCTCTAATCCAATGTCTGATGTCCTTATAAAAGAGGGACATTTGGACACAGACACACAGGGAAAACAAGGTGAAGAGGGATGCTTCTACAAGGATTGTTGACAACCACCAGAAGCTAGCAGACAAGCCTGGAAAAGATTATCTCTCAGAGACGCCAAGAGAGAACCAACTTTGTTTTCACCTTGATTTTGAACTTCTGGCCTTCAGAACAGTGAGACAATAAATTTCTGCTGTTTTAAGCCACCCAATCTGTGTTAATTTGTTATGGCAAGCCTAGGAAACGAATACACACAATTAAACATATTCTAGCACAGATACTTCTTATCTAAAATATGTTTTTCAATAAGAGATAAAGAAACAGGCCAGGGGTGGCTCACGCCTGTAATCCCAGCACTTTGGGAGGCTGAGGCGGGTGGATCACCTGAGATCAGGAGTTTGAGATCGGCCTGGCCAACATGTCAAAATTTTGTCTCTACTAAAAATACAAAAATTAGCCGGGCATGGCGGCACATGCTTGTTGTCCCAGCTATTCGGGAGGCTGAGACGGAGATTGCAGTGAACCGAGATTGCGCCACTGCACTGCCTCCTGGGAGACAGAACAACTCTGAGGGGAAAAAAGTAAAGAAAAGAAAAAGATGGTCTATTTGTGGAATTCATTCTATCAATGCCCAACTTATGATTTCAAAAGTGCATTGGTTCAAGTTCTCCTTCTTTTTAAGAGGTTGAGACTGGCCTAGGAGATCCAGACTTTGTTTTTATGAAGCAGGGACTGCAGCCAAATGTGTCATTTTCCCTGATAGAATGAGGTCCTGCAATTCAAGCTTATCGTTCAGGGAGAGTGTAGAAAGTGATGGAAGCCAACACTGTAACAGGAACTTGAACTAGTGGTGTTATTAGTTCGAGTAGCTTCAGCTATTGCTATCAATACATCCCACATCCTCAGACTGGCTCCAGTTGAGGCCAGGGGATAAGATAACTCTTCACCACTCTTTATATTCATAATTGCGATGGTTATTCTGCTACTTTAAAACCTCCTTGGGAAAAGAAAGAGTAAAATACTAAAAAGACTAGCAATCATGAGCACAAATACAACCAAACCAAAAAACAAAGTAATGTTCTTCATTAAAAGGCTCGGTGAACGCCGAAGCATTCTCAAAAACAGTTGACACCTTCTCCATTTGTCTTCGCAAACTCCAGCTACCTGTAGTTGCCGTTTTCCCTCTAAAAGCAACGCAAAGCTGCAGACTGCGCAAGCGCGAGTGGCCAGGCGCCCTGGGAGAATTCCGGCGCAGGCGCCGGGGCCGGGAAGTGGGCGGGCTCGCGCGCGTGCTCTGCGGTTCACTTCCGGCTAGCCCTTCCCCCGCCTCCCTCGCGTGGCCACCTCCCCCTCTGCCTTCTCCTACCCAGTCTCTTCCCCAAGTCTCCCCACCCCTCGTGCTCTCCGCCCCGCTTGCCACCAGTTCTTCCCCGCCCGCTCCATCCGGGTCGCTGACGGCTGTCTCTGGACTGGACAGCGGCGGCGTCCGCTTTTCTCTAAGGAACCGGGTAAAGTTTCGTAGGGGCCGGGGAGGGGAGCAGCGGAGCAGCGGCACGGACGCCGGAGGTGCCCTGGTGATCGTAGCTACTGGCTGACGGAGGAGGGTCCCAGGAGCCGGAGACCTGCTTCAGCGACCGCGCTGCCTTGCTCTCTGGGGAGGGGCCGCCCCCGGTCGCCTTGGGCTTCTCCTGCCCTGAGGAGCCGGGCGAGTTGTGGCCCCAGTGGGTTCGGGGGCGTGTGACGGCGTTAGGGAGGGGCAGGCCGGGCTGGGCGGATGCAGGCCGGCCCGGCACGGGGCGCTTTCTCAGCGCTTCCTGGGGGTGAGGGGCGTGGGGCGACGGCAGGGTTGGGGCTCTCTGGCCCCTAGGCTGGAATGTCGCACCTCCCTGGGGACGGGCTTCCCTCAGGTTGAGGCCGCGGGGTGCCAAGCCTCGGCCGCCGGCTTCTGAGGCTACTGCAAGCGGGCGGTTGCCGTAATTGTCTGCTCGGCCGCGAGGTTGGGTGTTGTATAGATGATTTTTCTTTCCCGGTCCCCGTGAGCTGATCTGGGTGCACGTTCAGGGAGAGACGGGGCTAAACTGCTTCTCATTTCCCTACCTGTTGCTGGCGAGAGGACGCCTGTGTCTTAAAGAAAAGGGTGGTTAAACCTCACGCGCTGAAGTCGGGATATTTTCCTGTATTACTCTTATTTTGTTTTTTAAATATGGGAAAACATTGCAGAACTCTGGGGAATTACCGAGTTCTGACGCCCCAAAAGAATGAAATCAAACTTCTGTTCATGGATGATGGGTCGTGGAATGGGACACCTCGGGCACTTGCTAGCCGGAACGTAGGAAAATTGAGGTTGAAACCTTGCAGGCTGTGTGTAAGGACTGTGGGTGACTGCTATAGAATAAGGCTGACTTCTGTAATTGTGATATTTAGTAACGCAATGTGTCTATGTAGGTATAGATGAAGTGGACTCTGTTATTTGTGTCTTTCTTTACAAGTGAAGAAATATTCAGTCAATGTGCTGGAAAGTTCTACAGATTTCGCCATCAGACTGTCAGTGCCCCAGCCCCCATTCCTATTCTTGAAAAATCAGCAGTGCGAGAGTTATTTGCAATCCCCTCCGCCACCCCCCTGCCGCCCGCCAATCTTTAAATTATTGTCTCAGAGGTATGGATAGATACAGATTGCCCATGGGAGAGTTTTTAGTTCCGGTTACCACTTGTAATAAAAGAAGTTGACTTTTGGAGACAATTGATATTTAAACTGCATTTTTTTTTTTCCGTAGTATAATTATGCACATTGATTTAGTTTTAAAATTAAATTAGTGAGGTTGGAATGTGAGTATTTTTATTTGAAAAATGGGATCTTTGGAGGTGATTTAAGATTATGGTTTGATAAGAATCCTCATTTTCTTTCTGGCCTATTAAGAATAATTGGAAGGGTCGTTTAAATTGTAGAAAATTGCTTTAAATTTCCTTTATTGGTTTTATTTCTGTTACAGATGAGAACTTCCATTTTCTGTTGATGTGGAGGTAGGTATTAGAAGGCTTAATTATATTAGGAGTTGAGGGAGATTGCAAGGTTATGTTTCTGCAGTTGGCTAAATTTTTCATTGTGTATATTTGCTTTTTGGGCAGCGGAAAGATGGCATATTTCTTGCTCCCATTGAAATTATTTAAAGCAAAAAGTAGAAAAAAATTGTGATTAATTTCATCAGGCTACTTATTCCCATTAGTTTAGTCTATCACAAGATAACCAGAAGTCAAAACTGGTTAATATGTTGTAAATTTTGCAAAGGATCATAGAAAGTGACACATTTTCCCTAAAAATTTCTGAATGATACATTTAAAAAAATACAACTGAGTGGTTTTTGAAACTGATACTTATGTAGCATATCGTAAAGTATATTTAATGTTTACTATGTAGCAATTATTGTAGCCTAGCACTTTAAAGAGCAATTATACATCCTTTTTTCTTTGAAGCCATATTAACTTCTTTCTGTCTCCTCAGACATAGGGTACCTCCAACTTTCCGGGGTTTCAGAAGAGAATTTTTTATTGAAACTGGAAGACCAAAATAATTACAAGCATGTTGTGCTGGGGAAATGCATCCTTTGGACAGCTAGGTTTGGGTGGAATTGATGAAGAAATTGTACTAGAGCCCAGAAAAAGTGACTTTTTTATAAATAAAAAGGTCCGAGATGTAGGATGTGGACTCAGACATACTGTATTTGTTCTGGATGATGGAACCGTGTACACATGTGGATGTAATGATCTAGGACAGCTAGGTCATGAAAAATCCAGAAAGAAGCCAGGTAAGTTGAAACATTCTTAAAATTAGCTATTTCTATTAATTATATTATTTTAAATTTGAAGCATCATATAATTTCTGTAGTTCTAACTACATGTTTATCAAGCTTTAAAAGCAAAGTATAAGTTAATTATTTCCTTTTTGTTTGTATATTTATATGCTTCTAAGTACTTTTTTTTTTTTTTTAAACTACTAGCATTATAAAGCCTTATTTTGTATGGTGATATAAAACTATAGGGAAAATCAGCCTGCAGTATATAGATCTTTGGTATAGAGTGTATAGTGTGCAGGTCCTTTTTAATAACTTCTGTTCAGCCACCGTGGATAGATTTTAAATGCATAATTTACTCTGTGTTTTCCTTACCTTTGGGCGGGCAGGTGAAACAAGATGAAAGTTTTTTCCTTTGACTTACTTGCCTAAAATATGTTTTTATTTTTCTTTTTATCCCTGTGTCATTCATAGTATTTTAAATATGTAATTTTATTTGGTTTAGTTGGAAATGTCTTTTATTCGCCTAATCTTCTTTCTGTAGTATTGCTAGCTATTAAAGATTTTGTGACTAAGTGTCCTGATTTTGTAGTAGTTGTACAAGCAAAACTAAATAATTTGTAGGGTAATGAGAATTTTGAGGAATTTGGTCACATTTCGTGTTCTGTTTTTCTGGATATTGTATTTTAAAATCAAATATTTCTACAGTTAGGAATATCATTGTTATGTGAGTTTTGCTTTCAATTATGGTAAAAGTTAATAATTTCAGGTGGTAAATTCAGATGAGACTGCAGCTATACTGTGTTACAGTTCCTTCTTTTAACTGTAACAATAATGGCACCTCAGTATTTTCTATGGCAGTTATTTTATCAGCTTATTATTTAAGTGGTTTCTGTTGTTAGCCAACTTTTGAGAAATTAATGTAAACTAAGATATTCAGGCATTAAAGGCACATTTCATCCTTCACATCATCTCATGACCATGCCAAACCTCACTTTTCTAAGTTGCAAATACTGTATAGTTTTCATACTCTCTTTGTGGTTAAGGTCTTAGTTTATTTTCTTTTGCCTTAATGTGTAATTTATTTTTATTGGATATGATAGTAACATTAATAACAATAGATTTTTTTTTTTTTTTTTTTTTAGACGGGGTCGTTCTGTCACCCAGGCTGGAGTGCAGTGATGAAATCTCAGCTCACTGCAACCTCTGCCTCCTGGGTTCAAGGGATTCTCCTGCCTCGGCCTCCCGAGTAGCTGGGATTATAGACTCAGTCACCATGCCCAGCCAATTTTTGTATTTTTAGTAGAGACAGGGTTTCACCTTGTTGACCAGGGTGGTCTTGAACTCCTGACCTTGTGATCAGCCCTCATTGGCCTCCCAAAGTGCTGGGATTACAGGCGTGAGCCACTGCACCCGGCCAACAATAGATTTTTAATTATTGCAGAACTCAAAGTAAATGACAGCTTTCTTGTACTCTGTCTCAGAACGTTTTATGGATTCCTACCAGATTTTTGTAATCTCAGACACTGAGGTGGTCATATTGGTAGAAATGAATGGTAATTTACAAATACAGATTTGATGATTCTCTCTGCTTCAGAGACAAATGATGCCCTTTACTATTTTTCCTTAGTTTGGAATGCTGCCTCAGGTTGAGATTTTCATGGTATGGAGGCTGCTGATGTTCTTTGTACTTTTAACATGCCCCATAGAAATAACTGAACATCTCTCTGTATTACTTTAATAATTTCTGAAAGGCCATTGGGCAAGTGGAAAGTAAAAAGCCAGCACATAGGAATTGCCAGTATACTTACTTATGTCTGCTGAGGTTTACATTTTTTAAGTGTTGTTGATCACCTGTTCAGTGTCCAGGACAGAGGTAGACACTGTACACTAATAGCATAATGATCGTTGTACCAGGGATGGCTTCCAACTACATAAATGAGATTCTGAGAAACTTAACTAGCTAGAATAGGCTTCTTTGTGGTCATGTTGACATTGTGATGATTGCGTTGTGACACCTATATCATCATCCTCTTGATTCATCCTGGAAGCATTATTTGGTGATGTAAAGTTGGGGCAGTGGGTTTCCTTAATTTGTGATACCTCTTTAGGATCGCCTCATTGTTGTTCCAATTATGCCACAGTCTGTGGAAGAGAAAAGTGAAAGGCATTAACTTTGTCTTTGAGAAACTTAGACTCTGGGTTGGGAGTTGAGGTATACATGAACAACTGGAGAGAACTGGAAATTAGACATGATGTGCTCTGTATTTTGACCCTAGGAAATATAAATTATGGGAAATATAATGGGATAGAATTAAGATTTCTGGGAGAAAATGAAGCCTTACATTTAATTCTATTGGTGATCACATAAACAGCTAGGAAATAAGTCTGGAGCTGAAATTGCTTAGTTTTATAGAATGGGGTTGTCCTGATCCTGAGAAAAGCTTTTTATTATCAGAAATTCTAGTTCAATGATATATTGAAGTGAACCTAGCTTTCAGAGGGAAGTGAAAGAAGTTCAAAAAGTAGTAGTTGCTCTGACAGGAACTTCATCTTTTAATCTCAGCCTTGATTGAAGATTTTTTTTTTTTTTTTTTGGAGACAGTTTCACTCTTGTTACCCAGGCTGGAGTGCAGTGGCACTATCTTGCCTCACTGCAACCTCCGCATCCAGGTTCAACTAATTCTCTTGCTTCATCGTCCCAAGTAGCTGGGATTATAGGTGCCACCACACCAGCTAATTTTATGTTTTGAGTAGAGGTAGGATTTTATCATGTTGGCCAGGCTGGTCTTGTACTCCTGACTTCAGGTGATCTTCCCACCTTGGCCTTCCAAAATGCTGGAATTACAGGTGTGAGCCACTGCACCCAGCCTAAGATGTTTTTTAACTAATGTTCTTAACTAAATTTTAAGAATGTTTTTAACTAAAGTTATTTATATTTGGAATAATTCCTTAATGATTTAAATGTGTCATTTCCCCAACCCCTTTTTAAATTTGTGAATTTGAGGACTGGATTAAAAGATAAGAAGCCGTTGGATCTTATTTAATTTATTTTAAAGTCTTCTGGTAATTGAGCAAGTTGGTTGTTTCTAGGACCATTTAATAAACATAGTTCACTTCAAAAGAGGTTTTTTTTTGGCAGGGGGTGGGGTGGTGGGGTGGAGTCTCACTCTGTTGCCCAGGCTGGAGTGTAGTAGCACCTTCTTGGCTCACTGCAACCACCACCTCCCTGGTTCAAGGGATTCTCCTGCCCCAGCCTCCCAAAAGGTGGGACTACAGGCGCGTGCCACCACACCCAGCTGATTTTTTTGTAGAGATCTCCTGCCCCTGTGATCCGCCCACCTCGGCCTCCCAAACTGCTGGGATTATAGGCGTGAGCCACGGTGCCTGACCAACTTCACTAGAGCTTTAAACTTGTGTCAGAAAGGAGACAGAAAGGAGGAAACTAAAAATTGTTTTATGTAGATTGGCTTTATAAATATACATATTCTGTAACTAATAAGGAATGAAGGAGAAAGAGGTAGGCTTATTAAGGATAAATTATTTTTGAGAGTCATAATAACCTACTGGAGGACTTGGCCTGATAATGTAATAAATAGATTTAACCTGTGGCCTGTTGAAAAGAGGGTGTTCTGTTCTGGACTTTTTAGGAAGCACATAGAAAGATTTAACTGAATGCCTTTATTATGCTACGGGTGCAGATTATGTCCATGGTCATCTCTGTTGTCTTGTATATGTATATCCTTTTCTGTCACTACTAGCTTTTTCTGAGTTATTTCCAGAGAAGTGAATGTCTGTTTCACTTTCATGTGTTTTTTCTTCATAAGAACTTTGAAATACCTTTTAAGCTAATGTCTCACTTTTTAAAATTCATAGCTAACAAATAAATATATTTAATCTTCGGTATGCTAGACCAGTCCATTTAAATGAATTGTTGGGTTTTTTTATGCTTTCAAATTCACTTCTGAAGATTTTAAGATAACCTATGGGAAGTACTCTTTTCTTTAAAATATCCTTTTCTTACTGTATTTTCTAATTATAGGTATAATTTGGTGACCATTGTCCTAACTATATGTTTTACGCATTGATTTCCATTTGTTTCATGTTAGAAACAGTACTAAACTGTTCTGTGATCACAGTTTGTAAATAAAGTGGTGTTCTGTTTAAAAATAAGCCCTGTTATCTAAAAAATAGTTTTGTTTTATAACATTCGTTCAAATGGAGTATCTCATTTAATTCTCACAACAGTTGTATGTAACTAAGGCAAGTATTATGGTCCCCATTTACAAATGAGGACACTGAGGTTAAAAGAGATTAAGACACTAATAGGGTCACTAGGCTAGCACATCTTGAGACCACCCTAAATCTTGTGGTTTTTATCCTTTATCTCATAGAGCTTTTCCTTTGCCATAGTTAGAAGATAGAAGAATATTTGCTCAACCTTTGAGGAAGCTGGTTTCCATTAGTATTTTATTGTAATCTGAGGGTTTTTTATTTTTTGAGATGGAGTCTTGCTTTGTTGCTCAGGCTGGAGTGCAGTGGTATGATAATAGTTCACTGCAGGCTTGGACTCCTGGCCTCAAGTGATCCTCCTGTGTCAGCTTCCCCAGTAGTTGGGACATTTATGTGCCACCATGCCTGGCTGATTTTTTTTTTTTTTTTGAGACGGAGTCTCGCTCTGTCACCCAGGCTGGAGTATAGTGATGTGATCTCAGCTCATTGCAGCCTCGACCTCCCAGGTTTAAGTGATTCTTCTGCCTCAGCCTCCCGAGTAGCTGGGACTATAGGCGTGTGCTACCACGCCTGGCTAATTTTTGTATTTTTAGTAGAGAACAGGGTTCACTATGTTGACCAGGCTGGTCTCAAACCCTGACCTCAGGTGATTCGCCCACCTCAGCCTCCCAAAGTGCTGGGATTACAGGCGTGAGCCACTGCCCCCAGCCAATTTTTTTATGTTTGGTAGAGGTGGGAGTCTCCCTATGTTGCCCAGTATGGTCTTGAACTCTACTCTTCAA